CACACGCACAAGCACACGCACACGCACACGCACACGCACACGCACACGCACACGCACACGCACACGCACACGCACACGCACACGCACACACACACACGCACACACACACACACACGTATATACACACACATATACACACGCGTTGTTTTTACCTGCGCAAATGCGACGCGGAAGAACTTCTCGAGCTGCAGCTGTCGGTCTAGCTTCGTGAACGCCATCTTGAAAATCTGCTCTTGCTTCATCTCTCGCCGCTCGCGTCCGATGCCCGTCTCACCGAGGAAGGATTCCAATCGCCCGATGAAATCCGTCCTCATCGCGACGTTAGGCAGCTTAAGTATCTGTAATTTGGAACGGTGGCAATGAATCTATCGCAATATAAATTAATACACTGTAATTAGTACATAATTGAACAAAAATAGTGTATAAATATAAGCTGCATGGTGGTCGCATTCTAAGAGTAATCCTGGTTAATAATTAATCCTATTGTTTCGGCAATTACTTATTATATCTGAACGGATGTCAGGGGATTCGTTCCTTTGCTCGTCGCAATAACGTCAATACCGTCGGCTAACTGATAATATCAATAAAACTCCTGCTTCATTAGAGTGCTAAGCTCGTGGCGACAGAGGGCGCTAATTATAACGTCAGTATGGTTTCTTACCTGGTCGTATTCGCGTGCGATCTTAATGGCGACCATTTTCTGGTGTTGGTCAGCGGCGACTAGCAGCATCACGCTCTGCACACGTGACATGTCGATGGTTCGCTGTGTTTTTCCGCGCTCGTTGAGTATCGTGATCACCTTACCCGGTCCTAGTCGCACCTGCACAGTGCGCTCGCCCTCCCTGTGCCCCTGCCACTCCGTACCTACACGCAGACAGCCACATTTACCATACGCAATGGTCACACAAGCAAACTATTGTAATCTTTAGACAAAATTAAACAAACTTAATTAGAAGGAAAGAATACTCCTAAACGAAACGAGCCGATTGTTACGATTCCGACTAAAAATATTTTCAATTACATTACATAAACACCCGTGCACTTCCGTTAATATTACGATATTTAGCTGGTGGCTATAGGTGGAAACCCGCGCACAAATATAACGCGCTCGGTTTGAACGTTCTTAGAATGTTATATGGTCTGTTATATGGTCGTGGTATCGTTGATTCGTACATGGGATAAGGCTATCGTCGGATTTCTTCTTCCGCAGGGAGGCTTGCACCATCTTGCGCTGCTCTGCCACCCGCCGCTCCTTCCGTTTTGCAAGGAACACCAACATCATGACGCAGCCTCCACAGGAAAAACATCAGTGTTAACCGCTTATCTAACATACACACACGCGCTCACACACACGGACGCACACACACACACACACACACACACACACACACACACACACACACACACACACACACTCACACCGTGTTCACTCACCTGTCAATCACTTGTAGAAATTATTTGCTTATGTATGAATCAAATATATCTTAAATACAACTGTAACGGGTTACGCCGTAATAACCGCCTCAGAATGTCATGACATTTATAAAACACTTCATATCAACTTGTGATATTTTAGATATCGTAGGAATTTATAACTATAATTCTCACGCCTTCACTTCAGGCTACTACGGTCGCTTACCGACGCCAAACAGACCAACGGCGAGAAAGGTGAGAGCGTAGGAAATTTCGCTACCGCTGAAAAAGTCAAACTGCTGCAAAGACGTGCAAGCGGCGAGACCGCTCTCCTGCATCTGACCCGGATATGACGCCGCGCAGGGGTCACTCGCTGCAAAGTCATAAAACACAATGTCAAACACACACACACACACACACACACACACACACACACACACACACACACACACACACACACACACACACGCGCGCGCGCGCGCGCGCGCGCGCGTCGTCTACGTACACGACGACCACTACTAGTACGTACTACACGTAAGGTT